ATTTTATATAATATATATGGTGACAAATAAATGTTTGGATCATTTTTCTAAAGAACAAACATTCAATAACAAGTCTTTTAATGCAGGTAAAAAAAATAAATTTTGCAAATAAAAACTTCAGATTTCTTCACATTTATTAATGGAACCATCATGGTCTGTCCTGTTTAAAATGACAAAACACTAAATTATTTCTTTACTAAAACCTCTGTAACTTTGCTCCAGTTAATTTTAGCAGCATGAATCTTTGTACAGGTGATGTTCACAAGTGGATTTATGTTTCCAAGGGTTTTTAGCCTGATTCATTATGGGTTTAAATGGTTTATATACTGTCAAATGTTAAAAATTACTCAGACAGGAGGGAAATTTAAAAAAAAAATCGGTTCCATCCCCAATATGTCTAAAAACACAGCAGCTGTTTTAGTACTTACACTTCTATTAAAATCTCCCGTGTTGGTTTATTTTGATACCAAGCTTATTAAAGCAGAGTTTATAAATGCTGACTCAGTTTCAGTTTCAGCATGAAATTTTGAGCAAAAACATCAAGAAAACTCCTTGGAGCTTAAGTGGTTAATCCATGTGAAAACATTATTTCTCACTTGAGTCCGTTACGAAGCGCCTGGAAGACCTGGTCCACCTGCTCCGGCTGGGACCAGGAAGCCACCGACCATCTGCCAGGAGACAGGTGTGTTCTGGGAGATCTGCCTCCTGGTGCAGCTTTGGAGCGAAAAGAGCCGCGAACAGACGACGAGCTGAGACAAATAAAATCCACATTTTAGTGTTTATTTATTTTACAGATTAGAGCTTCAGTTTGGAATTCTGATCATTGTTTTTGTTTATTTCCTGGTAGGTTTTTAACGATTTGTTTAAATATTTGGAGTTTTTTTTCCACTCGGATGGAAAAATATTTGTTGAACAAAATCCTCCAAAACAGCTTTGTTTGGTTTTGTGTACAGTTTCAGTCATGATGAGATGTTTTTGTCTCTGCATAAATCACTTTATACAAAAAGTCCATGTTCACATTCAGGCACGACAACTTTAACAACAGGAGGGTTACCGAGCCGACACCAGAACTTCTTAATTACAACTTCTGCTTTCATTTTCCTCCTGACGTTGATGGAACTCCGGGGGAATCATTCCTGGAATGTTTGTCCCTAAAAACCTGTTGATTTATGGCCCCAAACCCAGAAACGGACTAAAAAATGCAGCCAGAACCTCCGGGCGGACCCACAGAGATGTTTTCATGAAGTCACAGCGAACGTGTGGAAATATGTTCACTTTAAACACAAACTTTAAACCCGGGTCAGTTTTAAGGGTCCAGTTTTAATCCCAGACTCAGATGTGATCCAGTTCAGAGAGGCTTTGGTTTTAAAACCACGACCCGGTCCGAGTGGAACCACTTCCAAAACCAGATTTCTATTGTCTTAAAGTCCAGTCTGCAAAATGTTTTATAAATATTCATACAACCATCCAGGGGTGTCACTAGGTTTTAAGGACAAGGGGGGCTT